GTCTTGGTAGGATCTATCACCTTAATTCAAAACAATAACTGTTCATTGGGCTTGTTTCCTTGTCTTCAGAAAGCCTAGCAACTTGAAACCTGATATGGCATCAAAGTATTACGATCATTAGATGCAAAGGTACTGTGCATTTGTTATATTTAAAGAAACATTTCTTTTGATTTATCCTAGCAGTGAGAGCCTCCATTTTTTATTGCACCTCGTGGATGGAACTAGAGGGTATCATGCTTAGCAAAATAAGTCAATCGGAAAAAGACAACTATCGTATGATCTCCCTGATATGAGGAAGTGGAGATGCAACATGGAGGGGTTAAGGGAGTAGGAGAAGAATAAATGAAACAAGATGGGATTGGGAGGGAGACAAACTATAAGTGACTCTTAATCTCACAAAACAAACTGAGGGTTGCTGGGGGAAGGGGGTTGAGAGAGGGGGGTGGGGTTAGGGACATTGGGGAGGGTATGTGCTATGGTGAGTGCTGTGAAGTGTGTAAACCTGGCGATTCACAGACCTGTACCCCTGGGGATAAAAATATATTATATGTTTATAAAAAAATAATTAAAAAAAAAAGAAAAAAAGAAACAAACTAACCCCTTAGAGGAAAAATCAATGAGCGGTTGTGACTCCTCTTGTGCTGTGTAGGGAAGAATAATCCACCAGATTCCCAGAGCTAGCGTCTGTATCCTGAAAATGCAGTCTTTGAAAACAGCAAGTGAGCATGGCAGACATGTTCTAGAATATCAGTCATGCCTCTGTTCTGACTCATATGCATGTTTAGCTTTTCTATTTCCATTTAGAAAATAGACTTTCTAGGTCTAACAGTAATTTGACCTCTACAGTACCCAGCATTAGTTTAATGAAAGGTTGTACTCCTCACTTGTCAAAACCAGCTTGAGCAGAAATGCATTTGCAAAGCACAGGGTGGGAAGCTTTAGGTGGATAGTAACGGCATTCAGCTGTAATAAGGACTGACTCGTGCCTAAGTACTGGGTTTTATGTGTTTCTCTCCATCTTTAAGCTCTTGATATTTTATTTATTTATTTATTTATTTATTTATGCGTTTGTTTGTTTTTGTTAAACCAAGTGCAATATTTGGTGTATCTCATGGGATAAACATGGGGATTTTGATTACTCAGACCTGAGGCAGTCGTATTGCGTGGCTTTTTAGTAGAAGTCTTTGTTTTATGCTTTTATGTGGATTCTCTTCTCTTCCTATCTTCAAAGCCTCACTTAAATTTGGGTAATATCCATGACAAAGGAAGGCAGAGGATTCATTTCATTCTTTTAGTAAGCTGAGATATTAGAGAGGAGGAAGTGGTGCTATGTATTATTATACCCCTCTGAGAATAAACATTTTTACTTGCCTCAAGCGTTTGTTGGAGTTATTAAGTTTGGTCTTCTCTCTTTCTCATTTCTTTTCTTTGGCTGGCTGCCTTGCATTGACAGCATCAGTCTTAGAGTTTGACCAGCCAAGATGATTATTTATGCAATAGTCTCCCTCACTGGAGGGATTTTACTAAATTATCTAGAAACTAAATTTTGTATCATAGAGTGATATTTATTCTTTTCTGGTTTAGATTTTGAGAGCACATGTAAAAAATTGACATCAAATCCCATAAAAAAATCATGATTCTCTTATCTGTGAAGGCTAATATCTTTTGTATTAAAAAAAAAGCTGTGTGTACGTGCACTTGATATACCTTTTTTTTTTTAAATGTACTACGATCAATTCCATTTCTTGCTTACAAATAATACATTTAAGGACCCTTTTCAGTACCATTTTTTTTTTTTTTAGAAGAATACTGAGCCACTAAAATGGTATTTAGTAGGACTTAAGAAAACAGTCCCATAGCTGAAGCAGATTCTAACTGGTTATTTTAGTAAATTTTCCACAATTCAATAGGTTAATTTCATTACTTGACCTCATCTCTAAAAATGAAATCTTTATAATAGCATCCAGTGGTCATAACACTAGCAGATTTGAATATTTGTGAATATTACCAGAAGGACTTTAGGTAGGATCAGAAAAGCAAGTAAGTCAGAAATACATTTGAACAAGGGAATGGTAGTCACCTCACCTCATATTCACTGAGAATATGGGGAATCTGCCTTCTGTGTTTTATATTTAGAAGTCAGATGTCCTGTTTAATAGTAATTTGACTACTTAGTGTCCCCACTCATCAGGATTTAGGAAGCACTTGTTCTAGTAGTCATTGCCTGTTTGTAGATTGTCAGAATCTCCCAAATTCCCTTCATTTTTTTTTTCTTTGTGATGAGAAGTAAGATACCATCCCTTAAACAAACAAATAAAGCAAACCTGGTGCAAAAAGAATGATATCCTATATTCTAGATTTATTTAATTTCTGGTTAGTACATAGTCATTTTATACCATAGCCCTTTAACCTCATTCACACATTCTTGCAAGAAATTTCCAAACAGAACTTAAAGGAGAAATCAGGTTGTTAAAATTCATTTTCATTCAGAGTTAACAATTTTTAAGCTATGTACTTTGAAGAGGAAGGTTCCAAAAATGACAGTATTGTAACATTTAACAAGCAATGCAATACATTTTACTTTTCCAGGGAAATTCTCTAGGAATTTTAATTGCATGATTTTAATTTCCATATTAGATGTTGACAAGTGTGTGGTTATTATCAATTTGCATTGTTTGCAACAGCAGAATGAAAAGCATAAATACTTCTTATATCATTTTTGTTTGTTTGTTTCCAGAAAAGTGATATCAGTGTACAGTGTTTTTTACTCTTCTCACTGTTAGTCATTTCCAATCATGTTAAGTACTTCCAGCAGTTCTGGTAATCATTTAGTTTGTGCTGCTACCCAGAGATGTTGCAGGATGTGATATCGAGCAAGGCTGTGGGAGCCTGCTTTCTTTCCTAGTATTCCTGAACAGGCAGGGACCTGTGTTTCCACTAGTTCTACTATCACCAAGTGGAATTTGCTGATGAGGTGGGGACTCATTTTCCAGCAATAACATTGCAAAGATGCCTCTCCCCATTCTTGTTTCTCTCATTGTGGAGATAATACACTAAGCTAGAAAAATTTAAACTGGAAGACATCTCTGAAAATAATTTTACATTTCATATTTTTACAGATAAGAAATAGGAAAGCTAGGGAAACCTGGCTGGCTCAAATGGTTGAGTATCCTACTCTTGGTTTCAGTTCAGGTCATGGTCTCAGAGTCATGAGACTGAGCCCAGTGCCAGGCTCTGTGCTCAACATGGAGACTGCTTGAGATTCTCTCTCTCTCCCTCTCCTTCTGCTCCTACCCACCCATGTGCTCTTTCTCCACGTGTGCTTACTCTCTCTCTCAAATAAATTATTTAATTAAATCTTAAAAAAAGAGAAAAACAGAAACAGGAAAGTGAGATATTTTTTCCCCGAGATGATATATATATACATTATGGTACAGCTGAGATGTGAGTCTGGCCTCCCTGAATCTAGGAAAACCAAGATGAGAGTTGGAATAAACCTTTAGGTCAGCAGAAGCATCACGTGGGAAACATGAAAACAAGGCAGAGAAAATATGGTGATGAGCAAAGAGTGATGAACTTCTTTCTTAAAATCTAAGGATTATTTTCAAAATAAATTATAGCTACTGTTGTTTAAAACCATTTTTCAATAGCATTTAACTGAAAAACAGTAGGTGTGGAAATTTGTAATAGGGATAAGAAAATGGAATGGAAAAGTAAGATGCTTTTGAATTAAAAAAAAATAATTGCAACATAACTGCAAAAACTCAAGGGTGTGAGAAAAATGTAAAGAAGTAGGAAAAGTTATGAATATGCCTGTCTGCCAAACCACTATTGGTGTTTTTGCACATTTTGTCCTATCCTTTTAGGGGCTGCATTTTTCTTTATTATCTGATACCCCTCATTTAAATGTGTGTATGATAATTTTGTGGCTTATTATTGAATTGCAAGTATTTCTCATGTCATATTATAAAACATTTATCCATATAACATTGGCTATATTTGTACGATGTTCTATCATAATGTCATAGTTCATTTTACTGTCAATTCCAGTTTTATTTCATATTTAGGGTACATATAGTCTTTGCTAAATAAATGGCGTAATAGATATCTTTGTGCATAAGTACCTATCTTCATTTTATTTAATTCTCATATAATAGATTTCTAGATCTGGAAATGCAAGTTGGATGATAAGTAGGTTTTGAAGAGAAAGGGTGAATGTTAGGAATATTTTAAGGAAGTAGAGAACATTTAAAAACCCTTTAACTTCTAGCCTTTCATCTTTAGGAATCTTAAAGTCTATGTATTTTTTTTACAGGAGTTCCTTTTCTTCTTCCGCCCTCCCTAACGCCTCCCCAGCCCCCCTCCATGACTTTGGAGGCTTCTTGACTCATCTTTTATGCAAATTAGGAACTTAAGTTTCAAATAAGGCAGAACACAATATTTAGGTTAAGGAGTCACTTTGCCAGTTTTCCCTATTTCTGTTTCTTGCCAAACCTTATAATTCAGGGCTGTATTTCTTGTCTCTTTTAAAATTTCCTAGAATTTCTCTTAAATGTCACTAATTTTAATGGCTTAGCAGTGGCAGTGCTGCTTTCTGGCAGTGCCCTGATAATGGCATCAAAGCAAAGAGCTAAAATTTTACTCACTTTGATTGATGAGCTCATTTTGTTACAGAGGACAAATTGGATTTTTTTTATATTGGTAATAAAAATTAATGTGTGATGTTGCTTTTTGTATGTTATTGGATCTCTGCCTTAATACAGATTTCAGCAATAAAAACACGAGCAGATATCTTGACCAGAAAGTTACCTCCCTCCCCTTTAAACGACCCTTAAAAGTAGAAGATGCTTTTCTCATTTTGTGATCTTGGTGTGTGCATATATATATGTATGTATTGGTCTCAGTGGGGTTGAGGGCTACGGGGAAAGTGATGGCAGTGGGGTAATACTCTGTGTTTCAATTTTCCATCTAATTGTGATGTTTATTTCTTTTTATTTCAGCACCTCCAAGGTTTACAAGAACTCCCGTTGACCAGACAGGGGTCTCTGGTGGAGTTGCCTCTTTCATTTGCCAAGCTACAGGAGACCCAAGACCTAAAATTGTCTGGAATAAAAAAGGAAAGAAAGTCAGCAATCAGAGATTTGAGGTATTAGGTCCATTGTTCTGTTTCTCTGGGGGAGAAATGTATCTGCTGTATCTTTGGTTTGTATATTACTTGCTTATTTTACTGTGATATGAAGTGTGATAATCACTGAGACATGGCCTTCTTTTTGTTGCTTGTGTTGGGAAACTTAGTTCTAAATGGCTTTTTAAAAAGGAATGTGTGGGTTCAGGTGACTAACTTTGTATTAAATGGTACCAGGCTCAGGGTTCTTGGGATCCGTCTATTAGCCTCATCCTCAGACTGTTTCCCCATAACATAAATTCCCCATAAGATTTCAGTATGTGAGTCTCACATCCTCCCACAACGGAGCCTAGAAGATGAGTGAAAGCTCCCTATGCTCCCAGGTCTCACTGAGTTACTTACTTGTCCCTGGACTAGTGTATATAGACAACTGGATGGTACAGACCAACTACTTTAGGTTAATCAGACTCTACCTCGGTTCTGGGAAGGAAATTAGTTCCATCCAACCTTATGGCCTGGAGCCGGGAGGCAGTGTTTTCCCATTGCGGATTCAGGTGCCTGTGACAAGGAAGAAGGGGAATGGGTACTGGGCAGCAAATGAAGTTGTCCACTGAATCTCACAGCTGTGTTTTACAAGTACCATGAACTAAAATGGGACATTAACTCCAGTTGTTGGCCTAAGCATGACTCTGGAAGAACATACCCAACCAGGATGAAATGGCATTTAAACCTTTGAACAAATTACTCAAGAAAGCTCAGTGACTTGAAGATGATGAAGCATAATTCAGATATTATTTTGAATGTTTTTAAGGAGACTAATGGTTCAGAAATTTGCTCGTTTTGGAGGAGAAAAATAGATAATGATATGCAGAGAAAAATTGGAAGCAGCACACAATAACATGCCTGAATTTAAGACCTAATGAAAATAGCTTATTCTTAAAGGATAGAAAGACCTCTAAACTGCCCCAAAGTGTAAAACTCACTTTCTCTTGCCTGAGTTTCTGACATACTTCATAGCCTAATTTGTAGTTTGGCAAAATAAAGGCAATTTCTGGTTAAAAGAAATACAGCAAGTACAAAATTCAGAACATTTTTTATTTTACCCATTTTTACCAGTTTTCACAGAGCAATATATAGTCCAAATCCCTTTTTAAAGGGTATAATTAATTACACTGGTAGAAATTTAAATGTAGACTTCAGTTTACAAATGATAAATTTTTAAAATTATGTTTGTTTGACATCAAATACTTACAGTGATTAAACATTAAAAAAAACTTAATCACTGAGAAATATTTCCTCTATCATGTAGAAAATGATGTGTGTGTGATCTGTAATATACACCTCTTTTAGTTTAAATGAATTTGAATTTTTTTTTTAATCAAAGAGGATTTTGACATCATACTTGCTGGTGACAGTATAACAAAGATTAAATTATAATAGGAAATGTTTCAAAGCATGAGCTCTACTCATTGCATAATTCTGAATGAGAATCACACAGACACAGCCAAGGAAAATTAGTTATTTTTACATGAAGCATGTATATCAAATAGTGTTGGGTCTTGGGTTGATAATCTTTCAAATCTGTAATAGTATATATGTATTTTTGTTTTGCTAGTTTATAAAGCCTATAAGAGCCCTAAGTGAGAATGATTTTGTTTGTTCTATCTCCAGTGGCAATTATAATGTCTGGCTTAGAGTAAGTAGGGCACAATCAATACCGGGTATTAAATAAGATTTTCAAATTGGAAATCGCAACATTGGCATATAATGTGTAGTGTAGTGTTTGTTGAAAGAGGATAGGTCTACACTAGGAAATAGTTCAGAAATGTAAACCTATAGTGACACATAATAGTTAGTTGTTAAGGGAGTAGGTTCTAAGCCTTCACATCACAGGAAGAACTTTTTTTTTCCTTTTCTTTTTTTTATATCTATCTGAGATGATGGATGTTAATTAAACCTACTGTAATAGTCATTTCACAATACATGTAAATCAGACTATCACATTATATGCCTTAAACTTTATACAATGGATGTTTGCCAATTATTTCTTAATAAAACTGGAAAAAATCAAAATTTAAGATGGCATTAAGGATATTTAAGCCTTTCTCTACATTAAGCCATGAGATGTATTATATGTAATATATGTAATATATTTTAAATATATATTTATATTTAGAAATATATATTTATATGTGTTTACAAATATATATAAATGTCAGCTAATTCAAGTACTACTTCAAAAACTGATAATGGTGATGATGATGAGATTAATAAATATGGGTATGAAACTGTGGAGTCCTCTCCCAGTCTTTTCTAAAACTATGCTGTGTTCTTACAGCTGGTCACTGGGGTGCTGTGCTTTCTGGTTTATAAACATAAAAATGTTTAATGTTTATAAATTAAATGTTTATAAAAATATAGAAATGTGTGTGTGTGTATATATATATATATATATTCAATTATGACATACTTGTCAAAGATTCTAGTTAACTATGAAAGTTATTTCTCCCATCACGCATGGTGGATTCGTTCTAAAATATGTGCTTCATAGAACTGAAAATAAATTGTGGTGCATTGGGAAGTGGGACATTTTGGGTATCTCTGAATTTAAAACATAATAGAACACAGAAAGGACATGAAGTAGGTATATTTTAAAAACATTTGATCTTTCTTCTGTATGTTGACATAAGCACATTTACACACAAAATCGGGGATTAAACATCTCAATAAATGTATTTACAAAGCATTCTCAATTCATAATTTAGGCACATGGAACTATTAGTCACAGGGAAATGGAAAAAAAAAAAAAATCCCTCACCAAAACCGGAAAGCGCAGCTCCTCAGTGAGCAGATGAAAGGACACAGCATAGTTACAGAAAAGACAAGCAGAAGATTCCACAGTTTTGTACCCATATTTATCAATCTCCTCCTCATCATCATTATCATTTTTTTGAAGTAGTACTTGAATTAGCTGACAAATATCTGGGATTGCGAAACTGCTTTAGAGTGTAGTCCATAAAGATAGTGAATTCAGTCTTACTCCTTAGAACATTAATTTTCTGCCCGGTGAAGCAAGCCTCCATTTTACAGCAAAAATGCCCTAAAAATGCAGAAAATGCTAAGCTAGAACAAATACTGGAATGATTTATAGCAAAATTAATGCATGCCATCAGTCTCTTGGGTTGTGAAAGCCATCTCATTGGCTGCCTAAATATTAGATTTATGCAGTTTCTCTTCATGGTTTGCTCCTCCGTACTGTTCAGGATGAAATACTTCAAGCCAGAAGAGCTGTCTAGGGTAGTATACATTATATCTCCACCTTACAGTCCAATTATTGAGTAGGTCCACATATGCATACATGCTGTGAGAGACAGAAGATAACCTTTGAGAAGGTTACCCCTCATAGCAACAAGTCTCTTGCAAAATTAACAGGAACAAATTGTCCTACGTACACATACTAGAATATTTTCATGAGTAGACCATGGATGGTTTTCAGTAGACTTGCATCTGTAGCTACATGCCTTTCCCTTTGTTCAGGAGAAGATTCGTTAAATTAAACCAGTTTTTCCATTTTTCTACTATGTATCAAAATTCAGTCTGAAAATGCTGCTGTATTAGTCTGAGCCAAAAGACTGGTTCACCACTGTATTAAGGTTTAGCTGAGAGGTAGACAATTGTAACAACACCTGTGACAGCTATTGTTTCCTCTAATAGGTAATAGAGTTTGATGATGGATCTGGATCAGTTCTCAGAATACAACCCTTACGGACTCCACGGGATGAGGCCATTTATGAATGTGTGGCCTCAAATAACGTGGGAGAAATAAGTGTATCCACCAGACTCACAGTTTTGCGTGGTAAGTACTCAAGTACAAGGTTGTTCCTTGTGTTATTGTTGAAATTCTGTATCCCTGGTGTTCTTTTGCGGGACCACTAAAGTGCCTAGAGTTTTTATGACATTTAAATGGGAAATGAATTTAAATGCAATGTTTATAAGGGTGAAACATTTAGACAGAGAGTGCATGCCTCTTCTCATGATTCTTGAAGAATGTTATCCAGGAAAAAAAAAAGTCAGAGAAGTATTGATTTCCAATGCAAAATACCGTTATGATTTTTGGTAGAGTACCTAGAAAGGAAATAGGACATGCTCATCTTTTCAGGTTAGCATTGCTTCTGTATGGATTCTTTGTACCAAGGTTGACCAGTACTTTTTACAGATTACCACAACTGACACTGATGTTTGCAAAATTAAAGGAACATCTTCTGCCTAAAGATTAGTTCCTCATAAATGGAGGTATTGAGAAAAACAAAGGCACCTTATGTCTTTATGTCAAAAAATATATTTTTATTTCTGTCTTTTATATTTCTTGAACATCTGTTAATGCTAAGTGAGTGGAAACAGTGTGCCCCCTGCTGTGTTTCCTGCTATGTGGCTTATGCAGTTTGACCAAAGTATGAGATAACTTGCCAAATCTCTAGTACAGTGGGTCTGCTTTCTAGACTTTCTTTAGAACATCAGAATGTTCTAAAGAATGAAGAATGAAGGCTAGTGATTAATAATACTCTGTTGTGCATCTCTGCATCAACGTTTTGTGAAGAGATAAGAATATTGCCTGAATTGACTTCCCTAGTAGTTGATATCTCCTAACACTCTTGTGCCTTTATGTCTTTCTCTCTCACACACACTTTCATTTGTTTGTTCATTGCGTTTTGCTTTGAACTTCATTTTGCTGGATTCCACCACTTACGAGAATGAAGGGAAGTGGAAGGAAAAAAGGGATCAAAATTGCATTACTGGGTGCCTGGGTGGCTCAGTGGTTTAAGCCTCTGCCTTCTGCTCAGGTCATGATCTCAGGGTCTTGGGATCGAGTCCTGCATTGGGCTCTCTGCTCGGCAGGGAGCCTGGTTCCCCCTTTCTCTCTCTGCCTGCTTTTCTGCCTACTTGTGATCTCTGTCTGTCGAATAAATAAATAAATTCTTTAAAACAAAATAAAACAAAACAAAATCGCATTACCATAGAGGAATATAACATAGATTAAGAACATTTGTTCTCCACTCCATTTTTTCCCATTGTGGTATGTATTTACTCTGTATATTTTATAAAATCAAAACATTTCCTTCTGGATCTTTGATTACCAAATCAATTCGTTAATCCAAGAAACCTAGGAAGTAGGATTATTTACTTACACATCTTAAAATATGTTTCAAATGTTATAAATATCTTACTAAGTCTCAGGAGAAATACTGACCAACTAGATATAGATCTTTTAAATGCATGTAACAGAATGATGCTTAAAAACAAGTAAGTCAGCTTTGAGCTACAATTCCGTCCATTCTGAGAAGTTATTTACACACAAAGTTCTCATCCTCCTATAAACTCATGAAGATGTTGATAAAATATCTGAAAATAAAACTAAATGCTTGATTAGGCTTGCAAACAAGAAAGCGGTTTCCTGGTGCTAAAAACAAAGAAAGAATCTCCAGAGAACAGATAATTTATAATCTCATAACCCAAGATAATAACCAAAAGGACTGTATGTTTTAACTGCTGGAGTTTTAGCTCTGCAGTAACATATAGGCCTATATAAAACAAAATAAAGGTAAGAAGAGCTAGATCAGCTTTCTGCAGAAAGGTGAGGATTCTAGCTCCACTTTTATAGTGTAATACTCAGGACTAGAAGCAGGCATAAAAAACAGCCAGATACAGTGATTCTCAGAGTGTGGAAGAGGCATCCATGTAAGTACTCACCCCACAGAGATGCCCCCACAATTCAGCATATACAACCCCAGATAAGGTCATTCATACCCAGATGGGCTCATAACTACTAATTCTAAACCATGAAAGCTAGCTCTCACTCATGAAGAACAGTAAGCCCAATCAAGGAGAGTAGAAATCATAGTTTGTGAACTACAAATAATTGGACTGTATGAATGGGTTTGGGAAAAAAATGTATTTTAAAGATTTGAGAGGCACCTGAGTGACTCAGTGGGTTAAGTGTCGTGCTCCCAGGGTCCTTGGATAGATAGCCCTGAGCTGGGCTCGCTGCTCCGAGGGGAGCCTGCTTCTCCTTCTTCCTCTGCTGCTCTCCCGCTTGTGCTCGTGCGCGCATTCTTTCTCTTTCTCTCTGCCAAATAAATGAATAAAATCTTCAAAAAAAAATATACAGGTTTGAAAAGATAACAGAGTAAAATCTCTCAGGCAAGAATAAGATATTGGGGGGGAAAAGAGCAGATGGGAGTTAGAAGTCAGATTTTAGAACTGGAAGGATTCTTAGTAACTATGTTTATTAAGACTCTAACACGTACTTCAAGATATATGTACATATATGAATATACGCATATGTGTTCACATAAACTTAACAGGTCTGAAATTGTAGAAAAATTTTTTCAGGTGTTCACACCTGAGACAAACTCAGACTCATTTGTTGATTTTCTTTTAAAATTTTAAACTTCATTTCTTTACCTAGTTTAGAACTAATGCTGTGATGTAGAAAGTGTAATACAGAGGTACAATAAAGTAAAATCTGCCAAAAACCTTTTTTTTTTTTCATTACCTTCTGATTTCCTTGAATTCACCCCTTGAAAGGAAACAGTAACAGTCATTTGGCTTGATTTAATCTTTATGCATTGATGAAGAGATTAGCAAAAACTTGGAAGGAAAGTATCAATTTTACTTAGGCTTTCACATAGATTTATGTTTTCCTGCCTCCCAGCTGATTAGGGAGCCCCATCTCATCTACTTTTATTCACCAAGCTCCCCGAGAAAATAAATACACGTGAGAATTTTAACATGATCTTGGCTTTCTGTGTGAATAGCTGTCATGTATAAGTACCTTGTATGAAAATTTATGATTCTAGTAAAGATAATTAAACCTTTTGTTTTAAAGATTATGTTTAGCAATTTTGGAAATGTTTCATGAGAAAAACCCAAAGGTATTTTGGATAATGGAAAAGTAGTCTAAATATAACTTAGAATACTTTTCATATATCCCTGTGGGATGAAGTAAATGGGCTGGGAATTATCTTTTTTTTTCCCTAGGGTTACCTCATAGTCTTAAATTTCTAAATAACTAAGTATAATTCTATTAATAATAGACTGGCAAAATATTCCAATAGTAAAATCACATTCATAGAATATGAACATGGTGCACAGTTAATTAAAATGAATGTGAAGAGTTTCATACTATACTTGTTGAGCTTTGTGCCCATTTTTGAGTTCACTTGCACTTGCAGATCCCCTTGGCAGATACTCAAGCTCTGTGCTCTGCCGTTGGCTGATAGTGATGTACACTTTGAGTCAGTGGCCTTCATCAGATGCCCATTTCGTCCACATGGGTCATTTATTTTTTTTCCTACTTTGCTGACAATGCCAAAAATGTGCCAACTGTCATGACGGGTTTTGTCTAAGTGGACTGGATGGAGATCACTAATTTATTTCACACAGGCTACTAGAGAACCTAATTAATTGGAGATTTAAACATCTGAACTGTGTGGCTAATGCCGAAGACAGTGAAATAACACTCTGACCACCCATGTGCATTAAAGGGAGTATTTCAGGGGAAACTTTCCCTCTGTAGCTCGCTTCAAATTACCCTCACTCTGAAAAACTGTTTTCATAAGGAAGGATAACTACAAACTCAGGCTGAACATGCCCTGGAATGAGATATTTAGGCAATTACCACTCATACACTGTGCACCGTAGTTCACAGAAGAAGCAGTATGAGAATGGGGAGTTGAATGCTGTATGTATGGCCCCTAGGTCATATTTTAATTTTTTAGGCTGCCCTGCCTTTGGGAAACACAAGCAAAAGCAGCTCCCCTATTCTGCAGTACTTGAGGATGCTGATGTGTGTGTCTGTCATGCACATGTTTTTCCCTCTTGGGCAGAACTTTTAAGTGAAGGCTTCGGTTGTCATTGAGAGGTTATTAAGGGCTGAGACTTGCCTAATTGTAGAACTGGAAGGTTTTTAGATTAAAAATGAGGCTTTCAAGGGCACAAGTAGGACCGGATAGGGTGTTCCAAGAAGAGACTCATTATCCAGATGGATTTAGTTCTTTCTGAATCTTTGCTTCACCAGTCATAATTTCTTACCAATGTTTGTCAGGGGAAGTCTTATAGTATAATTGTATATAATGATAACCGGGGCTGAAAAGGTTTTCTCAGTTACATGTACCAGCCACTGGGCAGGGAAAACTGAGATGTTACCCATTTTGCCTCTAATTGTCTGACTATATGTCATGTTTCTTGAATTTAGATCCTTTTCAAAGAGTATCCAGAAAATGCACGTATTATTATCATCTAAAACAGCATGTAACACATTATTTTTTAAAGCTTAGTGGACTATTTTTGGAGACCTTCCCATTCCCAGATAGCACTGCCCTCAAAACTACTACCAGCACCAGCACGACAAAACAGGGTACAATACATAACACTATTGCTCTCACCTACTGACAGGAAACTAGCTTTTTCATAGAACACATATAAAGTAAAATTATTGCCTAAAAAGATAACCCAATATGAAACAATTTAATTACCTAGTTTTGCAGATGTATCTTATGAAATGGTACTTATGTTTACTTCACACACACAAATGCATCCTATTTTGTGAATGATCGCCATCAAGACATAAGACAATATAAAGTTTCTAAGTCTCAGTCACAGGTAATTTGAGTTCCAACTCTGTCTCTGTCCCAAAATAGCTATGGCATCTTGAGCAAATGTGTTAACTTCCATATTTCCTCCTCTTCCTCCTTCATCATCTTTTTCTTTCTCTTCCTCCTTCTCCTCTTTCTTCTTCATCTATTATTATTTTTATTTTTTTATCTTCACATGGTCAGAGAAGGCAAAGGCACTGGA